TCTGGTAAACAAATGACGTCATGATATGTTTATCATGTGATTGTCGATCACTGGGTTCAGTGATCTTTAAGTGTCCCTATTTTAATTATCTATTATTACTGCGCAACGTTTGATAATATTCTTTGTGGCTATCACGACCATTTATCAATTTTGTGGCTATGTTTAACTTTCATTATTAAAAGCCCTTGCTTACAATTGTCTTCATTCACCCACAATTGTTAGCAGTCGCTTACAATTGTTGGCTACTGATTCACAATTACTCACAATTGTTGACAACCGTTCACAATTGTTAACCGCCCTTTTCCTCTCATAAATAAACAAAAGATAGAAAAATCAAAATAAAAATAAAGCTAAAATAATAAAAAAAATAAAAATAAATAAAATAAAATAAAATAAAATAAAATAAATATTCTAAGCCCTATTTCCCCATGTCACGAACCTGTGACAATATGGAAGGTAATTCGCAAGTTTTCTAAAATTTCTAGTGATGTTTTCTCAATACATGATCAAATTTGGTAAAAAAAATTTTATTTAATTATATCGTCTTGTATAATTAAAATAAAAACATTTATTGAATTTGGTTTAGTAGTTGTCGAGAAATCATCATTAAAAGTCTTAAAAAATACTAAAATCATGTGGATTTTTCTTTCTTTGAACTTTATACACAGATTTCTTGACAACTAATTATCCGAATTTGACTAAGATTTTTTGTTTTAATTCTAGGTGCTCATAGAATTAAAAGAAAAAAAAATTGATCGAATTTGAATAGCAGGTTGTCGAGAAATATTCATTAAAGGCTAAAAAAAAGTTTGGCCGCAGCTTCTTTTTAAAGACATCAAAACGTTAAACGATGATTACTCGGCACTTACCTAGTCAAATTTTTTTTAGTTTGATTCTATAAGCATATAGAATTAAAATAAAAAAATTTGGTCGAATTTGACTAGGTAAGTGTCAAGTAATTGTTCGAAGTTTAGGCGTCCATAAAAAAAAAGCTGCGGGCAAATTTTTTTAGCTTTTAATAAATATTTCTCGACAACTAGCTATCAATTTTTTTATTATAATTCAAAAAATTTTTCATCAAATTTAGATACTTGGCTGTCGAGAAACCTTCTTTTAAAGTTTAAATAAACATTTTGTTACAATGTTTTTTTTAAAAATTTTTTAAAAACTTTGAACGATGATTTCGTGGCAACCAACTATCCGGGTTTTTTTTATTTTAATTCTAGAAATATTCCGTTAAAAGTTAAAAAAAAATTTTACCGCAGTTTTTCTTTATTGGTGCCTAACTTTGAACGATGATTACTCGGCACTTACATGATCAAATTCGACCAAAGTTTTTATTTTAATTCTATATGCTCATAGAATTAAAATAAAACTTTTTTGGTCGTATTGACTAGTTAAGTGCCGAGTAATCTTCGTTCAACGTTTTGATGTCTTTAAAAAAGAAGCTGCAGCCAAACTTTTTTTAGCTTTTAATGAATGTTTCTCGGTAAGGCAAGAACAACTGGATTCTGTGTTTTATATTACCCCCTTCTACCCTCCGGAAGGGGAGGTGGGAATTTGTGTTTACATAGTAAAATTTTAAAAAAAATTTATTTTCAAAATTTTTTTCCGAATTGATCCATTACTATATAAAATTCTTCCGAAATATCCCGTAGCCCTATGTATATTTAAATTTTTTTTACTATGAGGGAGGGGGACCCCCGAGGAGGGGGTGGGGTAATATATAACACAGAATCCAGTTGGTCTCGCCTAACCTGCTATTCAAATTCGACCAATTTTTTTATATTTTAATTCTATAAACTTCTAGAATCAAATGAAAAAAAATTTTTTTGGTCAAATTCGGATAGTTTGTTGTCAAGAAATCCGTGTTTAAAGTTCTGAGAAAGAAAATTCACATGATTTTAGTATTTTTTTCAAGATATTTAAGTGTTTTTAAGAATTTAGTGATTATTTCTTGACAACTACTAAACCAAATTAAATAAACTTTTTTTTATTTTAATTATACAAGACGATATAATTAAATTAAAAATTTTTAACAAATTTGATCATATAGTTATAGAGAAAACATCGCTAGAAGTTTTAGAAAGCGTTCGAATTATCTTCCATAAGTATGTAGCAATTGATGATCGGTAACATGCTTACAGTAACCTGGCACACATTTCAGACGTGCCCGCCGCCATATATTCTTATAATGAAACTTCAGGTAATACTACAAACTAATGGTTAATAATTTTGATAAGCCAGTGAAATATATAGTTTGTGACAAGAAGTTTATTAACCAGAATGATATTTTTTTCACTAATTAAATTTGTTCTTCGAATATAATAAACTACATGTCCTGTTTCTCATTTATTTTAATGATATGTAGATTACATTCATTTAGTTAAAATATTTTTCGCTATCTAAATTTTTTTTTTTTTTTAATATATTTAAATATACTAATAAGATACTTGAGAATAAGATCAATTACTAAAACATTAAGGCCCCCTTGCACGTACAATAGAAATTTTTAAAAGAGGCGAGTTATGCTAAACAGAAATCAAGTTGGTGTGATCTTACCAACGATGCGGTTGAAAATAAATACAATGATAAAAATAAAGGCGTGACAATGATAATATACAATTAGGAATAAACGTGAAAGTATGATATGATGATCTGATTCACGAGTTGAAACGTCAATTTCTAAGTTAACACAAATTAATTGCTATAAACGTAAAATTATAATTATCACCCATCGTCAACCACTTCATTACTAGAATGTTGAATTTCTGTCGACATAATCACCTCGTTACTAGAATCTTCTATTGACTTAAATTCCTTTTCTTTTTTAAACTTATTCCTAGAATAAATTAAATAGCTAATAATAGCTAATGATCCAACGAACACAACACTCACAACTATTAACCCTACAACAATCCCAGTGTTCAGGCTATTGGGGGGAGTTGTTACGTATGAATTTGGTGTACGTAGAGTATATAAGGAAACCCATTTATATGAATCGTGTGAAATATCTAGGATATTTACTGCAGAAGAATAATTGTCTCCACTGTCACCTAAAAAAATAAATATAATTTAAACAAAATTCCATTTTAATATACATTTATAAAGATAAATTATGCAGATCAGATTTCATGGTACAGTATTAGTATACTAAAAGGTATCAATAGTATCAATGGCACGATGGCAGAATGTCATTAAAATTACATTTGTGCAAATAACCCAGCAGAATCCCTTACTAATCATTAGTGCTTACCAAATGCAAAAATTATATAATCATTATAGAGAGCAGCCGTATGGAAGCTCGGTGATATTGTTGGCTTAGCACCAGGATCACCAGAAGGTATGGTATTAGTCCATATATAAGTGGTAAGATCCAAAACTGCAATGCTGCCTAATGGATAAGAATTATTTGAATGACCCCCGTACATTATTATGCTTCGGTTATTAGTTGTAAGAGTAGCTGTGTGAGCCCATCGACCAAAAACAGATCCAGATATTGTTGCTATCTATTAAGAAATTTAGAATAAATATTTCTGATAAAAAAAATGTAGAATGTACTACAGGTAAGACCGTTGATGTTATTACGATTGATTTTTCACACGGTGTGCAACGTATAAAAAAACAATTTTACAATACCGGATCATTCGGGTAGTACATGTTATGAT